TATACATATATACATACATACAATGTAGTTAAATTAAATTTTGGTTAGTACATGCAGATCACGCAAACGTGCAAAAATTAATTGCGAAACCATTTTAGACACGCGACTTTTTTCCGTAATAGAGTTTCTAAAATTGATTGTAAAGGCTCTTTCGTTGCAAATTAGGAAACAAATTAATAATTTCTCGTACGTATAGTATTCCAGAATTCGAGATATTGCACTGCGACATGTGATAATTTTTGTAGAAGTTTGGCTGGTCGATGATCTTGACCGTTCAACCTTTTTGTAACTAATAATTCTATTAAAGACGAGCAGGTCAGAATGGAGGCATGGAATATCGTATTACGCGCTGAAATCCTTGAAGCACACGAGGCGAACCCCGTAGCGCGTTGTTGTGATCTAACATGGCGGAGTGTAGTGTTGTGGCTGTTCAGTGTCTATGTCAATTTTAGAGTGATTCTGCTTAATAAGAACGAAGGAACTGCCATGGTCGGCGATCACGGTACGACGGAGGATCGAGCGAAATAGACGTGCGTGTGCGAGCGTTCGTATCACGAGAGAATCGGCGTTAATTTCGATCTTGTTTGTCGCGGGAACCGTACACAGCGGCAAGAAGAGCACGCAGAGTGCTGTCTTCCCAGCAACGAAATTTTCCCCGGAGCTTTTGGAAGAACGAGTTCCTCCGCAGGATCGATTCCATGCATATTTGTGGTCCCTTAGGTTCGCGTAACCACGACACGTGAACGCGAGAACGCGCGCGACGTGAAGTTTTCCCGCGCGTCCCGTGAGCTTTTCTTGGCGCAAGAATCAAGGCTTATGCAACGAAGAGCGCATAAACATCTATTACGGTAAACAATCCCGTTCCGTCAACCGAGGTTCAAGGCATGCGAGCTACGCGACGGCTGATCGTTGTTCGTACGGTATTATTTTGATTGATAGCGAGGAGGCTTTATCGATATCGTTTAAAACGGAAGTATTTTACGATTAATAAAAAAAATATTTTATATATTGTATATTATATATATATATATATATGTATGTATATATATAAATATAAATATATATAAATATATATATAAATATATATATATATATATATATGTATATATATATATATATATATATATATATATATAGGCTACCGAAGTTTGTTAGCGATTGTTGCTACGAGCAAACAAGGATACCCTTATGGCGTTTCTGTTTGTTCGGACCAGTATCATTGATTTGTTCGCATCATCGGGCAAACATTGCTGCTTACACCAGTCTTAAGGGAACTTGGCACCGAACGGTTTCTCATGTCCTGTGAGATAGCTTTTCCAATAAGAAGCCTTAATGGGTTACAAGAGAGCAATTGACGGTTCGATATACGTGGACTGTTGTGCATTAGTCGATTCATTGGAGAGTTGAGGTAGCCACATATAACAATATTTTAGAAAACCAAAGAGTCGGTGAAATTCGAAAGGGATGCGAGGTTGTTGGTGATTTTCTAGGACAGCGTGCATAAGTTAGTTTTACAATATGACGGATACACGCAGAAGAGTGAAGTTGTACGCGCTCAATGCGGACAGACAATGGGACGATCGTGGCACAGGTCATGTATCCTCTTCGTACGTAGATAGATTGAAAGGAATTTCTCTTTTAGTCAGAGCCGAGAGCGACGGTTCTGTTTTGTTGGAAAGTAGAATACAACCTGACACTGCATATCAAAAACAGCAGGTAATATTATTGTCGTACATTTTTATGTTAGCGTTAATATAAAGAAGATATCGATCGATACGTGAAGGATGGAATAAATAGCGGATAAAGTATAGAATTTGTGTTTTTAATTTTAGGATACATTAATAGTATGGTCGGAAGGCGATAACTTTGATTTAGCCTTAAGTTTTCAAGAAAAGGCTGGCTGTGATGAGATTTGGGAGAAGATCTGTCAAGTTCAGGGCAAGGATCCGTCTGTGGAAATTACCCAAGATATTGTAGAAGAGTCGGAAGATGAACGGTTCGACGATATGCCAGATACCGCACCCCCGATAGAACTGCCTCCTTGCGAATTAAGTCGATTGGAAGATATTAATGAATTAGTAGGAAATTGTTTATCTTCTCAGATGAGAAAAGACAAGTTGGCGTTAGCTTTAGAATCTGAAGGCTATATCAAGAAACTGTTGAATCTATTTCATACGTGCGAAGACCTGGAGAACATCGAAGGATTGCATCATCTGTACGACATATTCAAGAATATTTTCTTACTGAATAAGAATACTTTATTCGAAGTAATGTTTAGCGATGATACGATTTTCGATGTTGTTGGATGCTTGGAGTACGAGCCGACATTACCTCAGCCAAAGAGGCATAGAGAATACCTGCGACAGTTAGCCAGATTTAAACAAGCGATTCCTATCACAAACGCGGAACTGTTAGCGAAGATTCATCAAACGTATCGAGTTCAGTACATTCAGGACGTAGTTCTGCCAACACCAAGCGTATTCGAGGATAACATGTTGAACACGTTGAGCAGCTTTATATTTTTTAATAAGGTCGAGATAGTGACCCTTATACAGGACGACGAGAAATTCCTCACCGAATTGTTCCGTCAGTTAACGGACGAGGCAACATCCGATAGTAAAAGACGCGATCTAGTTCTTTTCTTAAAGGAGTTTTGTAACTTTTCTCAGAATCTACAGCCGCAGGGGAAGGAGGCCTTTTATAAAACTTTAACAGCTCTTGGTATTTTACCGGCACTAGAAATCACATTGGCAATGAACGACGCCCAAACGAAAACAGCCAGTATAGATATATTGACCTATATCGTGGAGTATTCTCCGAGCGTTGTTCGAGATTATACATTGCAGCAAATAAACAATACAGAACAGGACCAAATGTTAATAAACGTAATAGTTGCTCAGCTCGTCGGCGACAGCGACCCGGAGTTAGGCGGAGCAGTACAATTAGCCGGTGTGTTACGATTGCTCCTCGATCCAGAAAATATGTTGGCTTCCGTTAACAAATCAGAAAAGACTGATTTCTTGAACTACTTCTATAAAAATAGTATTGGAACATTGATAGCGCCGCTGTTGGCGAACACGATCGGTGACCGGCCGGCGAGAGAGGATTACAGAACAGTACAGCTCTTAGGATTGATCTTAGAGTTACTATCGTTCTGCGTAGAGCATCATACGTACCACATAAAGAATTGCATATTGAATAAGGATCTGCTCAAACGGATATTGGTCTTGATGAAATCAACGCACACGTTTTTAGTGTTGTGCGCATTGAGGTTTATGAGGAAAATCGTAGCTCTGAAGGATGAATTTTATAATAGATACATCATCAAAGGAAATTTATTCGCACCTGTATTTGATGCATTTGTAAGAAATAATGGTAGATATAATCTATTGGATTCAGCTATACTTGAGATGTTTGAGTTTATTAAATTGGTAGGTGTACGCGTCGTAGCTTGTGTGTGTGTGCTGCGATATATCTGACAGAAGTATTTATCTCCTAGATATTCAATGTGCTCGTTTATCCTGTTTCAGGAGGACATCAAATCTTTGTGTTCGCACGTTGTCGAGAATTTCTCGAAAGAACTGGAAGCGATCGATTATGTGCAGACGTTCAAAGCTCTGAAATTGAGGTACGAGCAGCATCAAGACAAATTAAAGGACAGAGACAGAGCGGCCCTTGACAGGTATATAAAGAGATCTTTTAAGGGGGTACAACTCTACACACGGAAAACTTGGCTATTTCTGAATATATAATTTCTGCCGATTACGATAATGCTGTATCCCCTTAAATCAATTTCGTATCGACGTATGCGTATACGAGGTTAATCATGGTAACGTTCGTGGTTGTGTTCAGTGTTCCATCCATATTGAGAAATAGTCGATACAGAAGGGACCAGAGACAGTTAGACGAAGAGGAGGAAATGTGGTTCAACGAAGAGGAAGACTTTGACGAGGGTGAGGCGGTCGTACCCGCAGCAGCAGCAGATCTTGTGCCTCCGGCTTCTGCTAAGAAACAGTCGTCAACTTCAAATTCTGCACTTAATCCCGCTCTTGCAGATTCGAAAAGCCACCATCAGCAGCAGCAACAACAGCAGTCTGTCTTGAACAATAACACTGCTAACAATAACATTACCTCGCAGCAATCGCAAATCAGCAACAGTACAACAACAACGACGAACGAGTCCCCTATCTCTTCGGAAGTTAATCCAAATTCGACTACCGGCACGGTGGAGAAAACTGGTACTTCATTATTTAAAAAGGTATACTGTTTTGTTCGTTGCGCTACTACAACATTGGTTCTACTCGTCGTCAAAGTCTCCTGTACCGTCGTTTCGTTGAACGAAGCTAATCGCTTTGCCACAGATTTGGACTAATTAGCTAATTAAGTAAAGCAAATATTTTGTTGTAAATTCGATAGCCCATCGGGCATACTGTCGATCCACGATCGACGAAGTCGGAAATTTGACGTTAAAGCGAAATATATTCGATCAAATCTGTTCCGACATTTAAAGAAAAGGTAACTGCGGTATACGCTTTGCACGATGGATTTCGATCGAGTCGTTAAATTAGGAAAAATATGTACAAGACCAAGGTGCGAATGGAAATTCGCATTATTTATAACTTAATATTTTTCCCAAATGAACAGCTCAGAGCCGAAGCTGGAAAAGTACAATGTCCTCGATATTGCGAGCGAGCTTCGTTCAAGACGTACATTAAATGGATGAATTTTCAGGGTTTGGTTGATTACGAGGCCGACTCGGACGAGGAAGACGAAGACACAGAGGTGACGCCTTCGCCGAAGCGACAGAGATTGTCATAGTAGGCAAACCGGAAGGGAACGAGGAACTCGTGATTCTTGAACCGCTGCTACCATTTCTGGCCCTCCCCCCTTCGCTCCTACGTGCACGAAGGATTCGAGATCCGGAGGTCGTACAGTCAGCCCGTCCTTTTGTCTAACAGAAGGAAGGGGAAGAAGAACAGGAAAATCGGTTTTTCTTGAAGTGAGTGAACGCTCGCGGGAGGCTCGGGTGGTTTTACAATGAAAGTGGTGGAACAGAGAAATTGCTGTACCTCTTTGTGTGTCCTCGGGTTGTGGTAGTACACCAGATCGGTAATGGGAACGTGCAGGTGGGTGAAAGGGTTCGAGAAATGGGAGCGTACACGCCTAACCGAGAAAAGAAAACAAAGTAAAGCGAAGGAGAACGGGGGGAGAGGGAGAGAGAGAGAGAGAGAGAGAGAGAGAGAGAGAGAGAGAACGAGCCGACGCGATACGAAAGGAAGAGAGAACTTTCTTGAACAGGAGAACGTTGAACGACGTTGTTAACGGGTGGAGTTCGTGGCCGTCGCATAAATATCGTATAACGCGTTGATCGGTGGTAAGATTGGAAACGACTCGCGAAAATAACAATCCATTCCATGCTGTCTGGATAACACACCCCATTGTACTAGGAGAGAAGTAATTTCACGATTATGGGCTAAGAAACTCTAGCCGGGCCTAGTGGTTCTTACAAAGAGATACAGAGAGTTCGAAGCGTGCGCTTTGATTCCATGTAACAATTGAAACAATTGAAACAATTCAAGGGAACGATTCAAACATAAAGAAAGAGAAAAACGATACCGTGACCGCGTGTCGTACTTTGCATCTATTTAAGGAAAAACGGACGAAAGGAGAAACTTCTTATGTATAAAAACAAAAACGAACCAGCAAAGAAATTCACATGTAAAAGTACATGATGTACCGCACAAAAAATAACCGAGTGTTTTTGTTTCGCCATCCATCAATTTTCTTATTCGCATGATAGGCAAATTGAATAACGAAACCCTGTGTCCTCGATGCAGGGACGAGATAAGGGTGGGTTGGAGTTGATGATGTGGAGAGGTGGGGGGGGGGGGGGGGGGGGGGGGGTGGTGTCTCTCTGTCACATAGACGTCATGAAACTTTATTCGATTCGAAATAAGAAAAAAAAAAGGAAAACACAGAAAGAAGTAGTATTTAGTTTGTATATATATGTATATTTGTAACGATTGTAAAACAACCATTCGTGGGTTAAGCAGAGTATAATGCGATTCCTTTACTATACATTCAGTTCCCTTTTAAGGTTCTTTCAACGAGCTTTTCGGTTGTCAATGTAAGTAGTAGAAATTGTACAATAAACATTTGATTTGTGTATATTCACCAGTTTGCACTTCATGCCCGATATTAATCCTCGACGTGAGAACGAAGATAAAGAGAGAAAAAAAGAAAGGAACGAAAAGAACGAAAGATCGACCGTTTCAAAATTCTCGAGCAGAGAATAAGCGATCGTTCTATTCGCGCGAGCGATTCGTAATCGCGTATGGGCAGAATACGAGAGAGAGAGAGAGAGAGAGAGAGAGAGCCGTGTTGTCGCCGTGTGGCGTCGTGCTTTTGTAAAAAAGCGGAATGAAACACGTTAATTGATTGTATCCGTGCGACTCGATTCTCATGAAATTCGATTGTAACGTTGCGCAGCTTCGTCGAACCGATTCTAAATCGTAAATTGACATTTTATAATTTAACGACGTGGCTCAACGATATTCTTCGATGTATGCCTACACGAAAAATTGATTTTTTCACGCGCCGATCGTCGTATCGCGACGAAACCGAGCATTCACCGATATAACTCAGCTTCGGATTCGATGTCTACTGAATTTTGTCGAACGATTACCGTTATAACCGATAAAGCTGGTGTTGTAAGAGTCTGTCACGATTTTTCTTTTCCGTTTTGTTCGTCCTAATTGAAATCGTTTCGTCGTTGTTCTTCGGACCGTTTACTTTTCAATGTGCGCCCAGACTGATTGCGTTGACTCGAGATAGAGCAAAAAATGAGATAAGTATTATAAGCTAATGTATAGATTTTTCACGACGCGCCCCGATTAACCGAATAGAGTTTTTAAGACTGCTTTAGAAACTGTTTGTATGTGGACATTTCGTAAATAGCATACGTAGGTCTGTACGCGCGTAACACGCGTACCACAGAGGCCTGTCGGTTTTCACGTCTGAACTGTACCCCATGATGCTCTGCGGATAAAAATAAACAATACCGTTGTGTATGGTAAACGCAAGCTTACGAAGGTTTCATTCACGCTTTCGCAGTGTACTCAGTCTCGGAGAACAAAATTAAAACGAACTTTCTACTTGCTCCATTTTGAATGGAACAACTTTTGTGCTTCGATCGATCGATTATTTTGCTTTATTTTCGAGCAATGAAATTTTCAAGCGATCACATTCGTTCGTTTTTTAAGTAGAATTCGAGAAAGCTCGCAGTTTTTCTCTCGAACGAACAATAAAATGGAAACTGCGTATAAAAATGTGTAAAACATAGACAAGAGTTTATGTATTTTTGTAAGAGAAAATTTAACTGGAATTTATGTTTTCTTATCTTATCCGGAGTGTTCTATCGAAGGATTAAATATACGCATAGAGAGTTGTACTTGTATAGATTCGTTTTATTCGTAGAACACGGTGGAACCGCTCATTCGTCGGTGAACCAGAGCCATCCTATACATACGTATATTGACTTTCGCGTGACACTCGTTCCGGAAGTTGGATCAGTCGTGTCACAGAAGCAAAGCCCGTAAATATCGAAGCAGGGGCAAATTCACTGGAGCCGAATGCGATATATATGTACATAAAATTAAACTAAGGAGAGAAACGAAGAGTTCAATTTGGACCGATCGCAGAGTGAAAAGAAAGGGTGGGGGCGAAAGAGAGTGAGATTACGAGGAAGATAGAGAGCGCGAGAGGACGCAAGTGAGAGCAGAATGTAACAAAAGCTAATTATTAGTATAATTAAGACGATATCGAGCAATGTTGTTCTTCGTGTATTATATATATATATATATATACATATATATATATATATATGTATATGTACATACATATATATCTATACATATATCACAATTTATATTCGACAACAATGGGACGAAACGATGAAAGATAGAGAAGAATGGAACGTACGCGTGAAAAGAGGAAAGAAAACGAGAATATGTAATTAAGAAGTTGAGAAAATCCGAGATGGATAGAAGCGGTGAATCGATGTCTAAGTGATACTAGAGTAAAAGAGCGGGTGCACCCTATTTAAGCTAAATTTCACGCAATACTTGTATGGAGTGTTTCAGACTTGTTCGTTGTCGCGACGCTTTCATCGCCCTTTTATTTAAGAGTTCTTTCCGTTACGACCGGGCTCGTCGATTGGAATTTTTTTGTCAATTTCAATTCATTCGTAGAATCGATATTTAGTTGACATTTTAGTTGCTTTTAAACGCTTTAGCTGTCACTGGATTGCCGATTAGACGCCTTAGAATTTTCGAATTTAGGTTTAAGATTTATCATCGTTGATCTCTCTCTCTCTCTCTCTCTCTCTCTCTCTCTCTCTCCCCCTCTCCCTCCCCCCTCTCTCTCGTAACTGTTTCGCCGTTCGTCTCAATTTTGTGAATATTTTAGGACTTTTCGTACTCAAGGTCGCGCGAAGATCACGGTGTTATTAGAGGTCGTTCGATCCGTCTCGACCTTAATCGTCATGGTACAACGACCGTAATGTATAGTCACGTTTAAAAGAAGGATCGATCACCTTGAAATTTCGATCGAAAGATCCGCGCGGTCTGGTAATCGAGGGATCGATCGATCGGCTCTCGGTAGCCAAAGCGTCGAATAAAAAATTCATTGAATTTCCGCTGGCAACTATCGTTTCGAACGCCGTTTTTATCGCGTGATCGAGGACAAAAGAATTCCGATCTGTGGTAGCTCGAAGCAGGAAGATCTCTTAACGCGATCGCGCCCGTGCTTTCGCCGGTGCTTCTCGGATCCATCGATCGTGACCGATAATTATACGTTGTCGCGTGTATTTCTTTCTCCGTTCTTATCGACGAAGTATCTTTGGCGCGAGCCGCAGCTTCTCTATGTTTCTAAAAGGAACGCGTTACTCGAGCATTCGAGCGTCACGGGGAGGAGGATGCCGCGTTACTTTTCTCCGCGAAGGGATGCCGTCGAGGTTACGAACGCTCCCCGACGAAGCTCCCCGTGTCTTTGCTCGTCGTCCTCGGACCGCGAAACTTTCTGTAAAATCGCTAAAATTCAGCTACCAAAAATCGCGGATAACATTCGATCATTTCAAACGCAACCGCGCTTTATCCACGATCGTTGCAATTATAAAAACTATAATTAATTATAATTCTCGTTAGAGAGCATCGATTAATCCGCGATTTGCGAGTTTCCGATACTTAATTCTTTCGATGAGTCCACCGTAAAGGAACCATCGTGCAACGATACGCGGTATCGAGGTACACGTAGCGGGCGACCAGGCTCGTACTCGATCATTTTTCTTCGATCGTTTCCATCGACTTCGCGTTCCCGATAAAATATCTGTGCGAAGAAACGCGAAAGGACGAATCGAATAAAAATGTATCGAGCTTCGTTTAGAATTTTTGTTCAAAGATTTCTTTTTGCACGCTGCAAAAACACGAAGGTAAGATCAGTGCCGAGGTCGCAATCGATATAGAAACTTTTACAGCCGTCGCATCGATGTAACGTTGATTACACGATCGAATGAGAGAGGGAGAGCGCGTGCACGAGAGAGTGAGAGAGAGAGAGAGAGAGAGAGAAGCATTACACACATTGTACCATACCACGTGTTAATTATATAATGCGTTCCGATCATATGCATATATATATATATATATATATATATATATATATATATATATGTATGCGTGTATATATAAAAAGGAAAATAACAGAAAGTAGACCGCTTTTTCTCTGACACATACATATACGTGTACGTGTATATATGTACATGTATACATACATACGCATATACGTAGATACATACGTATACATATATACACGGACGAAAACACACCTTTTTATATGAGAAGCTATTCGTAAAACGTGTGAATTATGGGCAAGCATAAAGGGGCAACAAAAATAAAAGATACATGAACTGTTCTGTGTGTAGTACGATAATAGTTGAATGGAGAGCACGTGGGAAATATTTTACATTTTATTCCAGTAAAGCGTGGCCGATCGAGCTACGATGCGTACGAATCGAACGAAGGATTTGCGGCGGGCTGCAAGCGATTCGAATTTCATAACCGAGATCCGGCGCGCCACGAACGTCTCGCTGTTCAGCGATTCCGACGATCGATCGCCTTTGTCCCGTTGCGAAGCACGCGTTTCGGTTTACACGCCCGTGGCAATTGGTATATTCGATCGAACGACGATATTATTCGATGTACGTGCGTACGATGCGATTACGCGGCATCTTTGGTTTTCGAAAACTGTAGAACCCTTTGAGAACATTTTCACTCTCGTTTTCGTTTTCGTTCCCGTTCCTGTTCCCGTTCCCGTTCCCGTTCCCGTTCCCGTTCCCGTTCCCGTTCCCGTTCTCGTTCTCGTTCTCGTT